ATTTTATCTGCGTTGATAATACGATCCATTGTACTTAAAAGCAGCGGCGGCGGCGGTGGCTGTGGGTATGCGTTATAGCCCACAGAACGACCACCAATGGCTCGAAACGATTTCATATTTGAACAATGGGGCGACATAAAAGCACCTTTTATACGTACTGTTCACGTTGACACGTTCGTTTTTATAATTGTAACACCAAATGCATTTTCCAATCGTGTACCTATATAAAATGATATGATATTACGTGTACCAAAATAGTGCATAATAAAATCAAATAGCCAATAATAGGTGTTTGTTGTTCTTAAACCTAACGCGTATACGTATATATTGCACGAACTATCGTGTTTGGCGTGTTGGCTATTATAAATCTGCACTGTTATCGATTTTCTTTTTTTTTTTTTTTTTTTTTTAATTCAATCAACAAATCACATAAAAGTGCTCACTATGTATATTATAGTATAGGTATTTAGTGTATTTGCTTTTCCTCGTATGCCTCGTATAGAATATTGTATATGGTTATAGACAAATTAACCTATTCGTTTTTACAAAGCCTCGGTTAAAAATAAAAATGTTGAATTATTCAAATGGGTATTTTTATATACCACGCACATTTATTAAATCTATGCATACTTCAAATCGACGTTTGACGGGTCTTTCTTAAAATATCTACACACAAGCGCATGCGCTCTCGGTAAAGTCGAACTGAATATTATTTTTCAAACCGTCAATTTTGGATAGGCGGTTTGTTGACGGACTGCCAACGACTTGGGCGGTGGTTTTTTTCTCTTAAATCATTGCCGCTCGGCTGTCGTGTTATTATAACTTTTTTCTTCCCCCCCCCACCCCTTTCATCTCTTGTCTACAGTTCAAAAAACGTAGACGACACCGCCTTCGGACTCCTAAATAAACGTAAATACATGCGAGAAAGCCAAAACGCACACACACACTCTTATATACACAAGATTTGTTTTCAATATTTTTTAACTAAATCGAATTCTGTTGACCGCAAAATCTTTGTTGTTGTCAAAAAACTTATTTTTAATTTTCTTGCAATGACAATGCTGCAGGTACGTTAGAACCATAACTACCATACAAGTATTGAATTTATCTTATTATTCGATAACTCTACTTTTGTATATATATATATATATATAAAAACACACTAAATTTACATAAGCCCCATATTATTTATCATTATTTATAAGATTGATATAATAATAAATATAAAAATGCAGATTTTAGGACAAACCCTAACCACGAACCTAGTCATAGACTTATATTACTATACAAGCATCTGCACAGATGATATATGACTTGATATGACTGCTGATCATTAATAACACATTGGCATTGAAATATGTTATTTCAGGACGGCAGAAAAATGGGCTACGGTAGCATGCAGGGTATACCAATGGTGGCGTCGAGCCCAGTGAGACACGACAGTCCGCTGGGCATGAACCAGATCGATGTGCAGAGCTTCCAGCCGCCGTGGAAGGCGCTGTCTGAGTTTGCGTTACATTCAGACCTCGACCGGGTGGATACCAGCCAACCACATTTCCAGCAGCTTGTCAATCAGGTATATGTTATATCATAATAATTTACAGTTTATATCGAGTCGATAAATCGTTTTAACACCACTCATAAAAAAGATGTTTTTATTTATTTATAGCTTTTCATATTAATTTTTTGTAAATAATTTTTTCCAAAACATGATTTGATAAAAACAAACAATACTGTAAGCATAGAATAATACGTAATAATATTTTGTTTAATATACTAGAAACATAAAAAAATGAGATAGTAATTTGGGACTAAGTTCCCCACGTGGCCTTCGTTTTTAAAGAAATTTTCTAATTTTATATAACTAATTTTTTAGAAAAAACTTAAAAATCTAATACTCTTAATCATACTCATAAAAAAAATGTATTTATTTCGTATATACGCAGTAAGTCCTCGTTTAACATCGAGGTTAAGTTCCTATAGGAAACACAACGTTAGCTTAAAAAACGTTAACCGAAACACTTTTTATACACACACTTTATTGTAATAATAGTTCCTGCCAGGGCTTGTATTAGAAACAATTTTTGTTACACATTATTAACAATTAAAATTTTATATGAATTTTGAGTTTATCGTTATTCAGAATTTAAACGTTATTCAACTTTTGCGGTAATCGTTATTCAGAATTAAAACATTTTATATATTTTATAAATTATAACTGTTAAATAATTGGAAATTAATTATTTCGTTCAATGATATATAATATATACAACGTTTTGCGTTATGTTTTGTTTTATGTTAATCGTTTTGCGTTATGTTTTGTTTTATGTTAATCGTTTTGCGTTATAATTACGTTTACAAATTTCAATCGTTTTTTGTCAAATATAACTTTAACGTTATTATAACGTTGGTAATCTCTAGTTCCTTCCAATAAATAACAATATACATTATATTTATTATAATTGTATAGTTTAATTGTTTGTATTATATAATATTAAATTACATATAATGCTAAAATTAACGAAAAATTTTAATCAGATTTACGTACATATTTACAATTTATTCTTTAAAAAAGAAATAACGATTACCGAGTATATATTACCTAAAATAAAATAAATTAAAATAATACCTACGCATGATAGGTATGTTAATCAAAATGATAACAGTATTTTCTGAAAAAAGTTAACGAAATTAAATTACTTATCGCAACGACTTACGCGAAATATATATTATTACATATAACAAAAATTTGATAAACACATGTATTATAAACGACGTATTACTGAAATCGTTGCAGTGTTTAACGAAACACAAGGACTTAAACTTCTACAACGCAATTTAGCGAAACAATGCTAAATAAGGCAACGTTAAACGTGGACTTGCTGTATAATCTATGAATTTCTGTATGCAATACGTGTACAAGAGTACTATGTATAGGTAGTGTATTCACTACTCATCATAGAATATTAATATATATTATAGACAGAAATTATATAGACAGTATAAATCTAATTTGTTATGAGTATGTTTTACCGATAATAATTAACGATAAAAACATACACACGAAAAATAAGCAAAACGTAGTTTTATTAAAAAAATATTTAAAGGGAAATTTATAGATTATATTCTTTATAATTTTTATGGGACCATCGTGGATACTGCATAGTGGTCTTCTTAAAGTGTTAGCTATTAAGAAAGTTATAGTTATTTAAAAAACTAAAATTAAAAAATATATTTGTATGCTTTTAATAACAAGCTATATATACAAAACTAAAAACCCTAAGTAGTAGTCTCCAAAATATTGTTCTCCAAAAATTTCATAAAAAGTGTTCTTACTCAAAAAATTCCACTTTTAATGTTTTTTTATTTCTATAAGACATGTATGGACACGTCAAACACATTTACATTGTCAAATGTAAATTTTCATAGCCAACATGTGCCGGATCCACACAACGATTACTAAAACGTGAAAATTAATATCATGATATGGTATATAACCATATAAACATTTAACATAAATATCACTAAGCTTTTAAATTTGAGAAGCAAGTATCTCGCCAAATATTATTTTTTCATAAATTTTTTTTTTTTTTCAAAGGAGGGTAAAAATAAATACTTCAAAATGATTACTTCTAAGTTCTAAGGAACAAATTAATTTTTTTCCACTCTACTCAATATTTAATAATATTATATACACGATTAATTATCACTATTTATAAATGTACCTATATTAATTATGGCCAACAATTAAGACTACTGCTACAGTACTTACTGTTTGATCATAATATATAGCTGGTGCTGCAATGCACCCGCCATCCATGCGCAGTAAACGCGCTTTAAAAATATTATCATTATTATTTTATGAGGCCACCAGTCGAAGGTTTTATTTCGGCCGAAACTGCCGCTGTCGAGGAATCGTGTGTGTTTTTTTTTTTAATTTTTAATTTTACCATCATTACTGTCCCGTATACACACGTGCACGATGTATAGGTATAGTAACACGGTTATGCATGATGTCTTGACAAGAATAATCCCGGTGATATTATTGGAAAGTAACAGCAACAGTGTGCGTGTGTGTGTGTGTGTGTAGGTACACATGACTGTGCTGTCGACTTAGTGCGGGATTACATTGCCCCTGAATGTGTAATTACCGCACGTGATGTGTCTGTAGCACCGGTGTAGTTGTACCTATATAATAATATACGTAATAATAAAAAATAGTGAGTGGTCCGAGCCGGTCATCGCCGCCATCCATATATAAATCGTGTGATGTGATGTGTATGTGTGCGCGTACAGACAACCTTGTCCCGTCGTATAATAATATACACACACACACACACACACATATATATATACGTATTTTTTTCCTATCGTATACGCATAATAAATAATAATGTGTATAATACGCACCTAAATATTTACAGGTATATATATATATATATATGCGTATACAGGAGTAGTACGACGTATATATTTTATTCGACTGAATGTAATTCGTGCATTTCTTATCGATAATTATTTTATTTTAATTTTTTTTTTTTTGGTTTTTCAAACAACGCATTCGTCTAAACGCAGCTGTATTAAAATATTTTTATATAGTTTACACATGTGATGATAATATAATGTATTTTGTAATAATATAATATAATACACGCGTTCAATAGCGCGTGCGTTCCGTCTATCCGTGTATTAATATGAAATCACGACTAATATAAAAACGTCAAGTAAACACGTTCTTATATTATTTTGATATTTTTAATCCCATAAATATTAGTACGATTGAAATATTATTAATAAATTATACGACTTTGTTTGCTATGAATTGCCTTCATACAGCATTATTTTTACTTAACCATTACTGCGGTTGTGTTCGCAGATGCATGGTTACGATATTCATGGTCCTCCACCACCTATGACCAGGTTGGACATAGACCCGGGTCCCGTGGATATGATGCACCCGGATTCAACCGACTCGTTCGTCACGTATCTAGAGAGCGACGACAGCCTTCACAATGACACGTCGAGCCCCTAATGCCACAGCCGACACGTCTTCGTCACTATCACGGGTGAGTACCTACAACAATATGCAACATAATATTATAATAACTTTGTTATATTTTCAATTCTTAGACCTCACACTCTTTTAGTACCCATATTATTATATCTGCAGTAAGGTATTTCGCCTTACGATTTTTCCTTAAAAATTATCTATTCAAAGTTACGCATCTGCCCTTGTAACATCGATGTCACGCGACTTTTGCCCTAGCGCAAACCCATATTATTATATATTTATATTATGCGTATAACCATTGTTTTACTAATATTGTATTGTTTCATTTTGTGTTCCAGATCCACATGACTACCCGTAACTACTTTTCTTGGCATACCTATTATATATTATCTTTAATTTGTTTTTATATTTGTTATACGTATTTTCTTCATCCTCTGGTCATGTTTACCTATCCCGTTTCCCATAACTACGTTTTTTATAAACGCGTGATAAATCCATCACCATTTTAATAATTATAATAATAATGATAATGATAAATAAACAATAATAATTATAATTATAATATTGTAAAAATAATTTATATAATATTATTATGAAAAATAAGAATGGAGTATATTATGTATTTATATATAATATATATATATTTATATATTATATGTATTATATACCTTTGTAAACCAAATAATCTAAGAAAATGACGAGCAGCCGAGAAATCTCCGAAAATCAGCAGCGGTCATTGCGGTAGGGCTAGTTGTGTTATTGCCGCCGCGTGTTTCATTATTGTGTGTAATATTTGTTGTACGTTTTGTGTAAATATAATATTATAATGAAAGAAATTCATTAGATTTTTATTAATCAAAATGTTTATTTGTTTTTTTGTTTTTGTTCGTTTTTTTTTTTTTTTATGTCACTAATCTTGTTAGTGTGATTGGCTAATTTGTTTATACTTAAACCGATTAAAAACATATTAAGAACATGAATTATTTTCCTTTGGCGGTGATTCAGTATTCATGTATAAATATATATGTTTGTATATATATATATATATATTATATATATATTAGACATAAATGCATTACGTTGTTATTATTTTTCACCCACCGATGTATACAATATTATTTTACCATTACATAGGTAACTCATGAAACTCATAAAAACTGTCGACTCGCTCGGCGACTGCTGCATGTTTCATATTCTATTTACAATATACATAACATTAGATTAACAACCGCGCAAAATAGCTTATATGTTTATTGTACGAATTCGTTTACATTTGTATAGGTACGCGACTAATAATGATAATAATTACCGTTTCCGATATATTATTTATTTCGGTACAATGTACATTATAATATCATAATATACCAAAATAAAAAACTGCGATTATGTTATAGTAATTCCGCAGTGCGCGTTTATGATTTGTTGTTATACTTATAATATATTATATAATGTGTTATGATATTTATTATTATTGTCTACGATTAACCTTCAAATATTGTTGTATAACATTTTGATTTTCAATTATCATAATTCACACGCAGTCCGCTAAGACGCCGAGTAATTCAATCACAATATGTACTCTCAATACAAACATGGCGAATGTCGTTGCAATAGTTTGGTTCATCGTTTTGCACGTATAAAATATTTTCTAACTGATACCAAGTAATTAACGAAGTGTACCTACGACCAGTGGTGCGCGTCCATACACAAACATATTATAATACTTTACAACTGTAATTATAGGCACACGGGTCGGTATTATTTGGCGAACAGGCTAACAGTTTGTTTGCAATTGAACGAAAAAAATAAGACACGCTGAACAACGATTACGTTGCCCGCGATGCATTCCGATCGACCAGGGATCGGCATGGTTGTTTTTGCGGATTTTGTCTATAACTGTATGAATGGTCGTGGTTATTAAATAAACCGATAGGACTAAATGCAAACTAAACGCTCTACGGTCGAAATATAGTGACAAGCTGAAACAAATATTGTCAATGTAATCACTACCAGGAGGTTTTCCTAGTGCCTCCCGAAATGGTCATTATTCGATGTGCAGAGTGCAACCTAAGAAAAAAAATCAGATTTTGTAAGTAGCCCAAAAGTGTCCCTGTTCGTTTAAGTTACCCATCGTGAATCTCGACGTGATTTTATTGTTTTGACTTACATTCGTTCTTAAAAATTATAAGTTTGGACAAGTGTATCTACTTATTTTATATATATATATTTTTTTTTGTAGTATTTATATAGTTTAACTTTACGTTTTTTGAAAATTCTGAAAATTAAAAACACGCATGACTATTCAACATAACTTCGCACGTCAGTTCACAATACTCATACTTATATTGACAGTCATTTTTCGTAACAATCGAAATTAAAATAAAATGCGGGTTACCTAACATTGCCACAGTCTTGAACATTAGCGGTAATAAACAATAACATACGCTTTACATAATTTATACTTTTTGTCTTTTTTTTTTTTTTTTTACCCACATTAGATAGCGTTTAGCTATACCGAAATAATGCAAATGAATTACCTATATATATATATATATTGTATCGTTTTCTGCATTGCTCGAATCGCGTCTAGACTCGTACACGCGTGACATGCATACATAGCGTTGTACTTATAATATTATATTATGTGTGTTGTTTCTAGAATTAAAACTAAAATCGGTCTGAACGAAAAGGCGATCGCACGTAACGTTATCGTCACCGTGAAAATGTTCGCTGCGTATTGCGATGAATAATGGCCGTATACGGAAAGCCTTCTACACAATCCTACGATTATTGAGACGTAATTGACGTGAGTGAACATAAATTCGTTTAGGTTTTGATACATATATACTGTATATAATGGTAGATTGTAAAGAAATAAAAATTCGTACAGTGGCGCCATTGGTCACGAATCTTTTTTTTTTTTTAGACACTCTCGTTTTCCACCCGACAATATCATACATTATACTCGTATAATAATAATAATAATAATAATAATTTCTCATTCGGTCGTTTCTCCGGGTCGGGCGCGGCGGGATGTGTACGGCGTACATTCCGAATATCTACGAGGGTGTGTGAAACGGTGAATACTGCAACAACTTGTGTGTGCGCGTGTGGTTGTATATTTTATGTGTATATATACCTTGAAGAAATAAACGACCCGAACGGAGTACCTATATAGTGCGTCGTAAAACGTGTACGAGGAAAGTGTCGGCGAGAGAGGACCGTGACCGTGCGGCGGGCCGCATGTACGGTATATATAATATGTATACGGTGGGCAAGAAAAGTTTTAAAAACGACGACGCCCTCTCCTTCTGCTGCTGCTGCTGCTACTTCTGTAGCTTGTATAGCGGTTATGGGCCTTGATTTCAACAAACGTGGTATATATACACCGTGTTAATATAGAGGGTCCAAATGCGAACGAATAATATAGGTACGCGTTTGTGTGAGCGTGTGTATATTATATATATATATATAATACCCACGTGATATGCGTGTGTGAGTATTTATACTTGTATATGTGTGTGTGCGCGCGCGCGTATATATATAGTGTGCGTGCGGTGCGGTGTGGTACCGCGCCCGATTACCCCCTAAAAGGGTCATGAAAAATGTATTTTCCGAGGGCGTACTCGGAAAAACTCCACCCCACCGCGTCCGCCCACGACCACTCTGCTCCTTACCCTCCGGCTGGGGACGCCGCCCGGTATATATTATATGATTGATGGACATCGCTTGGGTTTTCCCTCGTTCACTCGCGCCCCACGATGGTACCGACCATATACCTATACACACACACACATATATATATATATATGCAGTACACAACTTTATACATATGTGTGTGTTCAATATATTATAATGTATTGTGTATGCCCAACAAAACCAAATTTATATTACAAAATATATATATATATACACACGATATATACGAACACTGCAGCAAAATGCAGCAGTTCAAAAAGTAGTATACTGCAACTACAATACGCCAGTGCACCACAATATAATATTTTATCTGTACACATTCGCGTCATCTGTACGACGACGCCAAACTAAGTCGGATAAATTTTCATCGCTTAGCGGTGACATTTTTGATATTTATATAGGTTCTTAAGTAACGTAATGATTTTACCTTGACGTTTTATTGGTACTTAAAATTTGATGAAAACAAAAAGAAAAAATAAACTATTGAGAAAGTTAAAATGATTGTATTGGTGTTTTAATAATAAAGTCACCTCTTTTTGAGAACATTGTCAATATGAACACTGTTTATAATGCGTATAACATTATAAAATACTTTATTGTGTATCCAAAGTTTAAACGCAATGTTTATCGAGTGGTGCTGCAGTAAACGCTTTTTGTATCGGTACCCACTATGCTAACTCATAGTTTATGTATGCTTGTATATATATTCATAAAAAGGCGTCGAAACCGCAAGTCAAAAGTTTCGCGCGCGCGTCAAATCGTTTAGTATAGGTGGTTTAGGCGTAGTTCCGCGTAGTACTACACCCCCGCCACACACCACACAACTCACCCAAGACCCCGACATCCACAACACTTCTTCCGGATCGATAAGCGACCGCCTTACCGAGTATTTGTAAATGTGCGAGTGTATACACTTATATTTTATATAAAAATACACAATATAATATACAAGCGCTGCTCGGGGTTGTGGGCTGTATTATGCTTTTTGACCGAGTTCCGTTGTATCCGGAAACGAATATGTTCGCCGAAAAACAATTGCATATTAACACGCGAATAAGTATTTTTATTTTTATTATTATTTATAATAATATAAACGCCCTCAGAAGGATAATAAATGAATACGCTAAACGAAATGAAATGTATTAAAGTTCCTATACAGAGTTTATTTCACGGCGATCACCATTATGCAAATAATAATAATAATAAACAGGTACAATGCGAAAATACAAAACATGGATGTATATGCCTACTGTTGGTAAATATGAAACATAAAATATAAAATACACATAATAGTAATGTATAATAAAATGATAACCAAATCTCTTGAGCATACCGATCTAAAAAGTCGTATACGAAATGAGCAA